ACATCGCTGTCCAAAAACTTTCTGCCAATGCACTGTATTTTAGGCTTAGGTTGGACAGCGCTGTAGGGGAGCCTACATCGCTGTTCCAGAAGTCTCTGTAAATCCAACCTTGGCTCAACAGCGATGTCTAAAGTCCAACATCGCTGTTGGAAGACTTAACGCCAAACCATGTTTTTGGTTACCCAGGCCAGACAGCGCTGTTGATTACCCCAACATCGCTGTTGGGCTTGGTTTAGCCAGACCATGGTTGGTTTAGTCACGCCGTTAGCCGATGTCAAAAACGCAAGTTCTCCAAAATAAAAACCAAGTTTAGAAAACATTTTTTTATTGCAATTTGCTAAGAAATCAAGTAAAACATCTTAAAAACCATGTCATTTAGTTGAAAACCACGGCTAGCCAAGTTCGTGCCGTTTCGCATGGTTTTCACTAAACGATCAAAAACGGAAGGTGGTTTTTGAGGCGTTTTTGTTGGAGAACTATTTAAATATGCCCAGGAGTAAAAACCAGTTATAAAAAGTTAAAAACCACTTGGTTGGTTCGGACGCCAAAAACCGATGCCGAAAACCGAGAGCCGAACGCCGGTTTCTGAAAGCCGAACGCCGAATGGCTTGGTTTTTGGCTTGGGCGAACTCCAAGTGTTTTGACCCAAGTTTAAACTTTAAGAAAAGTATTTTTGAATATGTAAAAGAGATTTTTATGAATTAAGCCTAGAGAGCCAAGATTTGGAATTTTGTGCCGGTCTTGATCACATTAAGACCGACTCAATACAATTCTAGTTCTTCGTTCTTGATTCTGGGTTCTTGGTTCTTAAGTCATCATGCCATGTTCCTTCGCCTTAGTTTTGCTCACTTTAGCTTCGATATGTCGCGGCGGTTTGGCATTATCAAAACCTGTCATAAACGAACACAGTTTAGTGCAACGAAGGCGTAAACCCGTGTTCCAACAAGAACGAGATTAAGAGAATTCTTGATTATTGATTGATTCATAATAACCTTACAAGATCACAATATATAGGGATGAGAGTCACACCTCTTGACCTAATGAGATCAAGCCCATACTAAAACTATAAACCCTATTAACTATAGTTTATTAAATACTAAATGCTAATTTACTAATAAATAATTAAAGATGCTAATCATCATATGTATCATTTCCACCCCTTAAAAAGCTACCAGCTTGTCCTCAAGGTTGAACCAAAGAAGATCTCCACCTAGTGAGCCATCATTAAAAGACTTGACAATTCAAGCGTAACGGAGGACATTTGAGGCAAAACCAAACAGGTGGTGGAACCGCAAGGGAGCTAGGTATTCAAACTTTTCAATATCATCAAGGTGAAACAACTTGAGGGTATCCAACGAAAATCTCTTTTACTTTTGCTTACCGTTCTGCAAACGCGGTTATCCATGCTCTTGCCCAAGTAATCAGTTCACCTCTGAACACTAAGGTTTAGCTTAACATACACCTCCAACATTTGTACTCCCTTATATTATTAGTGATTCACATCTTCACTTTTCTTAAAAATAACTATTCATCTCAACCAAAATTTATTGTCCCATGGCAGACCAGTATGATTGACTAAGTTTATTTCCAATTCAATTTAGTTAAATAATAGAATCAAATAATAAAATAAAATTTATATATTAAAAATTAAATTAAATTTTATAATTAAATAAGAGGTGACATGACTATGCTATTTTAATAAATAATTAACACAGATTATTAAAGAAAGAAAACAAAAATTTGGTTTTCAATAGTGAAGTGGGACGATTAGTTCGAGGATTGTGTAACTATGAAATCTATATGTAGAGGCCGTGATAGTTCAGTATTTTTAAAGAATATGTACTATATCGTTACTATTCAAACAGCTTAGTACGGTTTCAGGTTTAAGCCTAAACCCATTTAGAACCATGTCGCTTGGCAACAGGATGGTACCATGCCATAATATTGCCAAACTATTCCATAATATATCGAAGCTTTGAAAATTTTTTATTTATAAAAAGCAATTGACGTAATTAAAAGAACTAGTGTACCAATATTTTTATGCATTCTTACTCAACAAATGTATTATTTAGTTACAATTTTTGATAAAATATAATTATATTTGATTTTTCAACAAATAAATTTATTATCTGAGTGGTACTTCGGGATAATAAATACTATAAAAACATAGGTTTAAGTATGTTAAAGTTACACACAAAAAATATTACCTAAACTTACTAAAAAATAAAAATTGAAAATGTATAATTAATTTATTAATTTATTATTTTAGTGTGAAAGAATTATTTGGGAAGAAATTGTTAGAATAATAGACCAACGCTAGAGGGGGGGGGGGTGAATAGCGTTTGATTAAGAAATCGCAGGAATTAAAAATGATTAAACGAGAAGTAAAGAGAAGAGTAAGAGGCACACCAAATTTACCCTGGTTCACCATAACTTGTGGCTAATCCAGCCTCCCGAGAGACTCTCTCGAGCTACACTACTATCTCGTTAAGCTTAACGGTGCTTAACAAACCCTTACAACTTGAGAGTTTGAGTCATACGAACCTCAACGAACCTTTGAAGGAAAGAACCCTTCCTTCGAACAACAAGAGAAATATTTTCTCTTGTCAAGTGTCTAAGAACACTAAAAACACTCAAGAACAATACTCTCTTTTAGAGTGGATAATGAGTAACTAAGAACGCTCAAGAACACAACACAAGCTTCACAAAAATGGCTCTCAAAAAGCTATGAATAAAGGATGAATGATTTGCAATGAAAGAGTAGGAGTTGTGAAGTAATGTGATATATAAAACAGACCCAAACACCCCATTTTATAGTGGAAAAATAGGCTCCAATGGACCAAAACATTTAAGGGGTGATTGGCACAATTTGTGGGATTTGATTAAATTTGGATGTGCTGAAATTCACCCTGAGAGCGCTGTCATAGGCTTGGACATCGCTGTTCTAGGCTTGGGTTTTGAAAATTGGGAAGCAACGGTCATGCCAACAGCGATGTACAATACCCCTACATCGCTGTTTTGGCTGTTGACTTCCAAACAAGGAAAGTTTTAGCCTTAAATTCCTTCCAACGGTCAGGTCCCTACATTGATGTTCATTTCTTGAACATCGCTGTTTAGGTCTGACTTTGAAGGTGGAAAGTTTGGCCTGACAGCGCTGTTGCAAGGTCAACATCGCTGTCCAAAAACTTTTTGCCAATGCAATTTATTTTTGGCTTAGGTTGGACAGCGATGTAGGGAAGGCTACATCGCTGTTCTAGATGTTTCTAGAAACCCAACCTTGGCTCAACAGCGATGTCTAACAACCAACATCGCTGTTGGATGACTTAACGCCAAACCATGATTTTCAGCTACCCAAGCCAGACAGCGCTGTTGGTTGCACCAATATCACTGTTAGGCTGGTTTAGCCAGACCCATGGTTGGTTTAGTCAGCCGTTAGCCGATGTCAAAAACGTAAGTTCTCCAAAATAAAAACCAATTATTGAAAACATTTTTTTATTGCATTTTGCAAAGAAATTAAGTAAGACATCTTGAAAACCACGTCTAGCCAAGTTTTACGCCGTTTCGCATGGTTTTCACTAAACGACCAAAAACGAAAGGTGGTTTTTGAAGCGTTTTTGTTGGAGAACTATTTAAATATGCCCATAAGTAAAAATCAATCATAAAAAGTTGAAAAACACTTTGTTGGTTCGGACGCCAAAAACCAACGCCGATAACCGAAAGTAGAATGCCGGTTTCTGAAAGCCGAATGCCGGATGGCTTGGTTTTTGGTTTGGGCGAACTCCAAGTGTTTTTAGGCAAGTTTAACACATGTGAAAAACATTTTGAATATGCAAAAAGATATTTTGATGAGATGAGCCTAGAGAGCCAAGTTTTGAAAGTTTGTGCCGGTCTTGATCACATTAAGACCGACTCAATACAATTCTAGGTCTTCGTTCTTGATTTTTTGTTCTTGGTTCTCAAATGATAATGCCATGTTCCTTAGCCTTGGTTTTGCTCACTTTAACGTTGTTATGTCGTGGCGGTTTGGCATTATCAAAACCTGTCATAAAACGAACACGGTTTAGTACGACGTAGGCGAAAACCCGTGTTCCAACAATTTCCCCCTTTTTGATAATGGCAAACAAGATGGGGATATGCATACTAAGGGATATTTGATTTTCAAAAAGTTGTGAAAAAGTTCCCCCTTAATTTGTACTTAAAACAAGTAGTCGGATTTAAAATCAAACGGTCTCGTTTTTAGAGACGTTCCCCCTTAGTGTATGCATAACCCTTTTCTTCCCCCTTTTGACATTAACAAAAAGAAAAAAGGATAATTTTATTTATTGAATTGGGAAAAAGCGGAGTACAACGGAAGCGATTAAATAAAAAGAAGACAATAAAAAAGAGATAGAAATTCTAGGGGTCTCCTAGTCTTCGTCTTCGGTTTCCTCCTCGTCGTCGTCGTCGTCCATCTCATCCCCATCGATGGCATCGTCAAACTCATCTTCATTCAGGGAGCTTGACGGGGCGTAGGAGGCATCGTCTTCGTCCTCATCACCGTACACTTGCCCAAAGAGCGTGCCATGGTACGGTGGGGGGACGTAGTTAACGCGTTGGAAGTACGCGTTCATGGCGTACCCTTGGCGTTGGACAACCTCGTCTAGCCGCTCAAGGTAGCCATCCATCCCGTCAACTTTGAAGTGAAGCCGGTTGAGGGAGTCGGCGATGGAGGCAAGGTTGGCCCGGGCCTGGGGTTCGGCTGGGCCAGCGGCAGTGACTGCGGTGTGGCGCGGCAGTGGCAGGCACGGCGTTGTCCGACCGCTTGGTGAAGGTTTGGGTGCTGATCGTCCAAAGCTTCGTGACCTTTGTGAGCGGGCCAATAGTGGTGGTTACCTTGAACCGTTCAAGGATGTCCATCACCACGAACGGGTACGGGAGGAGGTGATCGTGGTCGGTGGACGCGGCGACCGACATGTTAATCATGACAAATTTTTGCCCAATTGATCGGGGCCGTGTGCATGATCGCATGGATAAGATTGAGGTCCTCACTGGACATGATCGTGTGCCCATGCTTCCGGGGCTTGATTATTTGGGACACGATGTAGAGAAGGAGCCGGCTCTCTGGGGTCGCGGAGTGGATGGTGGGGCGACCCGAGGCATGGCGGATGAGCTCGGTGATGCCAAGCTCGTTGAGGATAAGGCCCTCGTTGTTGAGCACCCAGTCCTCTCCGCCATAGTGGGAGACGTCGTCGCCTTGGTAGGGGAGGCCGGCGATGCGCCCAAGCTGCTCAACGGAAAGCTCAATCGGCGTGCTCTTGACAAGAGAGTAGAGCACGTCGTCCTCACGCCGGAGGTTGGAGTAGAAGGTCCGGATCAGTGCCGGGTTGATCTCCTTCCGAGCCCGGGAGACGAACGGCCAAAGGCTGGCTTGATGAAGCTGCGCGTCTATATCGTCGTAGCCCTGCAACTCCGGGAAGAACTCCGAGACAATCCGCGGGGGAGCCACAACCCGTTTAGAGAAGAAGGTGAGGAAACGGGTGCGCTCCTCCTCGGAATCGAACCAGAGATACGATCCGTCGCCATAGTAGAGGCGCTACTCGGAGTTTGTTGACGGTGCCCGGGATTTGGACTTTGATTTCCCGGAGGGGGCAGCCCTGCTCTTGTCTTTGCCCATGGTGAAGAAATCTCAAAAGATTAGGGTAGAGAAGATGAAATATGTAAAGATATTGAAGGAAATTGTGTTTGTGTGTGTAAAAGTGAAGAGAGCAGGTCCTAATTTATAGAAAAAAGAGGTTCCCAACGTCCAGAATTTCAAAAATATGGCTGTTAGAGACATCGCTGTTTGAAAAATTTCTGGTTTTGGTTGAAAATAAGGTTTTTTGGGTAGACAGCGATGTTTTGAAAATAGACATCGATGTTCAAAAGGTTTCTGGAAAGCAAAGGTAAAGGGACTCCCTGTGACAGCGATGTTGGCTTGTTGTACAGCGCTGTTGGCTCAAGCTGGTTGACGGTGTTTCTCTCAACAGCGCTGTTGGGTCTCCTGGACAGCGATGTTTGCATGGTTCCCCCTGATTTTATGAATGGGGTACCTGCAAAAAAAGAAAAAGTTCTCCGACGCTCAAGTTAGTAAACGTTTAACAAGTTAAGATGCACAACTTAGATCATCGTGGAGTCAAGGATTCCTAGTTCACTTTGAATGCGGAAGAACGACTCTTTCTCTAAAGGTTTTGTGAAAATGTCGGCTAATTGGTTGTGTGTTTCAACAAACTCAATTTCGACATCACCTTTGAGAACATGATCTCTAATGAAATGATGCCTAATGTCAATGTGTTTCGTCCTTGAATGAAGAACGGGGTTCTTCGTCAAGCTTATGGCGCTAGTATTATCACAACGAAGAGGGACGTGATTGATACTAAGGCCATAGTCCACCAGTTGTTGCTTCGTCCAAAGGATTTAAGCACAACAACTACCACCGGCTACATATTCCGCTTCAGTTGTGGATAACGCAACACTGACTTGTTTCTTACTAAACCATGAGACTAGAGAGCTACCAAGTAAGTGGCAAGTCCCACTCGTGCTTTTACGGTCCAATTTGCAACCGGCAAAGTCCGAGTCGGAATAACCAACGAGATGACAAGAAGAGCCTTTTGGATACCAAAGTCCAACGTTAACCGTTCCAACAAGGTATTTCATGATCCGTTTCACCGCGGTTAAGTGCGATTCCTTCGGACACGATTGATACCTTGCGCAAAGGCATACGCTAAACATGATATCCGGCTTACTGGCGGTAAGATAGAGAAGGGATCCGATCATACCTCGATACTTTTTGACTTCTACTTCCTTACCTTTCTCGTCTTTGTCAAGATGGTCAGACGTGCTCATCGGGGTCGCCATGGCTTTGGCGTTGTCCATTTCAAACCGTTTTAGGAGCTCCTTGCAATATTTGGCTTGGCAAATGAATGTGCCATCTTTCATTTGCTTGACTTGGAGTCCCAAAAAGAATGTGAGCTCGCCCATCATTGACATTTTGAATTCACTTGTCATTAAAGTTGAGAATTCCTTGCACAAAGACTCGTTAGTAGCACCGAATATAATATCGTCTACATAAACTTGAACCAAAAGGATGTTATTGTTTTTACTCTTGATAAAAAGTGTAGTGTCAACCTTTCCCCTTTGGAAACCACTATCCAAAAGAAATTTACTCAAGCGTTTGTACCAAGCACGGGGTGCTTATTTAAGACCGTAGAGCGCTTTCTTGAGTTTGAAGACATGGTCGGGGAACTCAAAGTCTTCAAACCCTGGGGGCTGGTCAACATACACTTCCTCTTGAATAAAACCATTGAGGAAGGCACTCTTAACATCCATTTGATAAAGTTTAAAGTCCATAGACGAAGCAAAAGCAAGAAGTAAACGAATAGCTTCTAAACGTGCTACGGGTGCATAAGTTTCTTCGAAATCAATGCCTTCTTCTTGATTGTAGCCTTTAGCTACGAGCCTAGCTTTGTTTCTAGTGATTATTCCATTTTCATCAAGTTTGTTACGAAACTCCCATTTCGTACCAATAATCGTACGATCATCGGGCCTTGGCACCAATTCCCAAACGTCATTCCGTTTGAATTGGTTTAGCTCCTCTTGCATAGCCAAGGTCCAATGTTCGTCGTTTATTGCTTCGGAAATGGTTGTAGGTTCAATTTGAGAAACAAAAGCCATGTGTCCTACTGTGTCCCTAAGTGAGTTTCGAGTACTTAACCCGCGGTTGATGCTGCCAATTACCTGGTCAAGTGGATGATTCTTGTTCGTTCTCCAAGCGATGGGAAGCTCGGTTTCCTCTTGTTCCTGGGCTTCCTCGTGTTCTTCTTCGTTCGCTTGGTCCTCATTTTCGACCATCACTTGAGGTGTTTCCTCAGGTTGTGGTTCCGGATTGGTGTATAATGGCGTGTCTTCTTCATCGTCTTCAACGTGTAACTTTTCAAGTGAATCTGCAAGATCATCACAAATTGCCTTTCTCGCCAAGCGAGTATTATCTTCGGAAAACACAACGTGAGGGGACTCCTCAATAGTCAAAGTACGTTTATTAAACACTCTATAGGCCTTGCTACGAAGTGAGTAACCGAGAAAAATCCCTTCGTCCGACTTGGCATCAAATTTTCCCAAGTTATCTTTGCCGTTATTGTGAATAAAACATTTGCAACCAAAGACTCGAAGATGGGAAAGGTTTGGCTTTCTCCCTTTGTATAATTCATAGGGCGTTTTCATGAGTATCAGTCGAATGACGGCTCGGTTTAACACGTAGCTTGCGGTACTCACGGCATCTGCCCAAAAATACTTAGGGATTTTTGCCTCATTGATCATAGTTCTAGCCATCTCTCCGAGACATCTATTTTTACGTTCCACCACTCCATTTTGTTGTGGTGTACGTGGGGCTGAGAAGTTATGATCAATGCCAAGTTCGTCACACAAATCTGAAAACAGATTTCGTTCGAACTCTCCCCCATGCTCGCTTCTTATGGCTACTATGGTTGTGTCTTTTTCATTTTGAACTTTCTTTAGAAAATTTTTGAAAACATGAAATGCCTCACTTTTATGAGTAAGAAACAAGGTCCATGTAAACCTCGAGTAGTCATTGACAATCACAAACGCAAAGTAATTACCGCCAAAACTCTTTGTTCTAGAAGGGCCAAAGAGATCCATGTGCAAAAGTTGAAGCGGTCTAGACGTTGAAACAACGTTTTTAGACTTAAACGAAGCCCGAATTTGCTTCCCCTTTTGACATGCATCACAAATGGTGTCTTTTTCAAACTTGAGTTTTGGAATGCCGATTACTAAGTCTTGTGAAACCAATTTATTCAAGAGGTTCATGTTAATGTGAGCTTGTAACGCCCCGAAAACTGGTCTAGCATTTTTTATAAGATAATTACTTAATAACAAAACTGACCGATTAGATTAAAAAATTAAAATAGTAAATTAAATATTTATGCCAACTAATTTAGAAGGACATAATAATCCCAAAAAGAATATCAACGAATATTTTATTGGAATAAAATATAATTTGAACTAAAATGAAATTTATTAGAGTAAATAAATTAAAAGAAAAGTACTAATTAACCTTTCAAAGATGATAAGGTCAAACAACTTGACAATGTGATAAGGATAAAAACTAACCCTTATCATTACTTTCATTCCTTAACCATGAAGGAAATGTATCATTCCTTAACCATAAAGGAAAACTAACCCCCACCCACATATACGTATATATATATATACTACATCTATAAATATAAGGAGTATTCTCAAAAGAAATTATGACATACCATGGGAAACTAAGTACTGACAAAATATATTACTATTGATACCAAATATACTCATATAGTTAGGTATTTAGCACTGGGTTAGAAAGGAGCTTTCTACCGGAGGTTGTCAGGTCTAATAACCATCATTCGTCTTTTTTTTCCAAACCGTTTCGAACGACAAGGTGAGTATCGCCGCCCGTATAACAATCGATACTTAATATAATACGTAGATTTATACAATGATTTCATGTATATATTCTGTTTAATTTCGATACTAGAATTCGGAAAAAAAATAGCGTAAATTATTTCGAACATGCTTTACGTCCAAACTTCCTAGATTTAGCCCAATAAGGTTTTTAATAAGTTATTATATAAAAAAAGATGTTCTTAATGAGTTTTACCCAAATAAGAATAAAAATATGGTTTTGAAATACTATATGTTTATTATTAGATTTGCGTATTAATTATTTATATAAAAGTATAATATGAGTTGAATTTGAAATATGGATTTTAATGAGACACATACAGATACAAATTATATTTTCTAAATTTAATAAACGATTTCTGGTATGTGAACTATGGTTCACAAAGTTCCACAGGGTTAACCAGTACCCCTCCATTGCCGTACGTACGAGCCCGTCATAATGGACTAGTCGGGTACGTTAAGTACTCGGAGTCCCAGTTACATAATGGACTTGTCTTGTACTTGAAGTCCCAGCTAAACAAGAATAAAGCAGAGTAAAGAAAAAGTTCAAATATGTGAATATTGCACCTTTATGGAAAACTGAAACAGAAATGATTTGATATTATCAAAGTAAAGAATTTTGAGAAAAGTATATGTTTACGCTATTATATTTTGTACCTATTGTTATAATTGGTACCACTCAGCTTTTGCTGATCGGGTTGGCTCCATTTTTTTTAGGTACACAAACAGAATAGTGACCGAACTGGAGGACGATGCTAAGCCGATGGAAGGATGGACGAGATGATATAAAGAAAAATGATAATAATAAATATGTTATTTTGAAATGAATATTTTGTACGAATATGTTAAGCTTCCGCATGTATAATAGTTACTCTGATATTATCAATAAATAAATAAGTTTTGTTTAATGCTCCATTTTCCGATTCAAAAAGGTTACACCCATTAACACCGCGAGTCGGATATTTGAATAAATTCGGGTATCCGGGTCGTGGCGTTACAGAGCTACTCTTCGGTGCCATAACCAAGTGTCTTCCTCTTTACTCATGAGGCACTTAGCAAAGCCGGAAGGAGATTTGTCTAAGTTAACCATATAAATATTATCGATTCTATCACCACGTAGAATAACCTTATTGTCACTAAGGCGTTCTACCGTGCATGATTTTGAGTTGAAGGTCACACGATTTCCCTTGTCACATAATTGACTTATGCTCAAGAGATTGTGTTTAAGACCTTTAACAAGCAAGACATTATCTATAGAGGATTTTTCAGATTTACCTACCGAACCAATGCCGATAATCTTTCCCTTGCTATTATCTCCAAAAATTATGTTTCCTCCTTTAGCGGGCTTAATTTGGAGAAACTTGGATGCAACCCCGGTCATGTGCTTGGAGCATCTGCTATCAAGGTACCAAAGTACACTTGATGCCTTCAAGAACACCTATGAACCACATCAATGAGTTTTAGGTACCCAATTTACGTTGGGTCCTCGTGTGTTAGGTGTGTGATGGTAGTGTGCTTGATTTTGTGATAGGTGCCTATGCCTAGTATAACAGACAGGAGCAATATGGCCTATCCTATTACAATAATGGCAAACTACGGTGGGGTTGTACATGTGCCTAGGTTCATAATAGTTAGAGGGTTTAACCATTTTGTTCCTATTTTGTGAAAAAGATGGTCTTTGAAAATTTTGAAATTGGCCTTTTCTAGGTGCTCTAACATTATTTCTCCTAATTTGAGAAAATTTGTTTTTATGCACAAAATCATTTTTCTTAGGTTGTCTACCATGACTATTTTCATTCCTAGGTTTTAGTCTAGGTTGTTTAGTGTCCTTAGGTTGACTAGGTTTTCTATTATTTTTAGGTTTCTTATGTTGAACCTTAGATTATTGTCTAGGTGGTGGCTCAACATTTTCTTTAGCTTCATTTTTATTGAAACCTATTCCTTCCTTAGAAAAATGCATAGTGTCAAGAAGTAAATTTAAGTCTTTGTGAGAAGTATTAAATTTCTTGACCGTGCTCTCAAGTTTAGTGACTTGTTCTTTTAAAGCTTTACAAGACTCACATTCACTTGAGGAACTTTCCGGTTTGTCAGCGCTTCTTTTTCCAAAAAATTTGTTTTCTTGTTTTAGTTTTTCATTGTCTTTTTCCAATTTTTCAAAATCGTTTTCAAGTGTAGAAAGACGTTTCTTCAAGGATTTATTCGTTTTAGAAGCGCTAACAAATTCTTCATAAAGTTCATGAAGTGATTCTTGCATTTCTTCAAAAGAATAAGAGTCGGAAGAAATGGTACATACCTCTTAGACGTCGTCGTTTTGATCTTCGTGCGCCATGAGGCAAAGATTTGCAGCTTCATCCTCCTCTTGGTCGGTTGATTCGTCACCGGAATCGCCACCCCAAGAGATGTAAGCCCTTTGCTTCTTGAAGCCGGACTTGTCCTTGCCGTGCTTGGCTTTCGGACACCTTGGCTTGATGTGGCCAATCTCGCCACAACCGTAGCACTTGGGAGGACTGTCGTGCTTCCTTCCCTTCCGCTCAAATTCCTTCTTCATGAACTTGTGAAACTTCTTGATGACGAGTCCAAATTCGTTGTCGTCATCGCTAGAAACCTCTTCCACCGGTTCCTTGGTGGCTTTGAGAGCTATCCCCTTTTTCTTCTGTTCGTCCAATGATGGATTAAGAATGGTAGATTCGTAAGTTTTGAGATTACCTCTTAATCCATCAATTGTGACGTTGGAAACTCTAATTGACTCGTAAATGGTATCGGCCTTGGAGCGCCATTCGGGAGTTAAGCTTCGAAGGATCTTCCTCACTAGATCCTTGTTGGAGTAGCTTTTCTTCAAGGCGTGAAGATCGTTGATTATTTTTGAGAAACGGTCGAACATGTCATCGATTTTCTCACCTTCTTTCATTCGGAACATTTCGTATTCTTGGGTGAGAAAGTCGATCTTGGCTTCATGAACTTGATCGGTACCTTCGTACGTCACTTCAAGCTTGTCCAACATTTCCTTGGCGGTTGTGCAACAGGAGATCTTCCGGTAGTCATCGGGGTTGACCGATAAAGCATGTTGATAGCCTTTGCGTAGTTTTCAACCTTCTTGATGACTTCGGCATCAAACTCGTCCCCAGTCTTTGGGACCTTGGTTTCTCCCACTTTCTTCATTGGGATTTCCTCTCCGTTTTTGATGACCAACCATAATTGGAAGTTGGTGGAACGGATGTAGATTCTCATCCGTTCCTTCCAATAGGAGTAGTTGGTGCCATCAAAGAGCGGTGGCCTAGAAGTTGATTGACCTTCTCCAATTCCTGCATAGAGATTTCTAGAAGAAGAACCCATGATCGCTTTACTCTCAAACGGTTAAGTTTGGACGCGAGTTAGGCTCTGATGCCAATTGTTAGAATAAAAGACCAACGCTAGAGGGGGGGTGAATAGCGTTTGATCAAGAAATCGCAGGAATTAAAAATGAATAAACGAGAAGTAAAGAGAAGAGTAAGAGGCACACCGAATTTACCCTGGTTCACCACAACTTGTGGCTAATCCAGCCTCCCGAGAGACTCTCTCGAGCTACACTACTATCTCGTTAAGCTTAACGGTGCTTAACAAACCGGTACAACTTGAGAGTTCGAGTCACACGAACCTCAACGAACCTTCGAAGGAGACAACCCTTCCTTCGAACAACAAGAGAAATATTTTCTCTTGTCAAGTGTCTTAGAACACTAAAAACACTCAAGAACAATACTCTCTTTTAGAGTGGATAATGAGTAACTAAGAACGCTCAAGAACACAACACAAGCTTCAAAAAAATGGCTCTCAAAAAGCTATGAATAGAGGATGAATGATTTGCAATGAAAGAGTAGGAGTTGTGAAGTAATGTGATATATAAAACAGACCCAAACACCCCATTTTATAGTGGAAAAATAGGCTCCAACGGACCAAAACATTTAAGGGGTGATTGGCACAATTTGTGGGATTTGATTAAATTTGGATCTGCTGAAATTCACCCTGACAGCGCTGTCCTAGGCTTGGACATCGCTGTTCTAGGCTTGGGTTTTGAAAATTGGGAAGCAACGATCATGCCAACAGCGATGTCCAATACCCCTACATTGCTGTTTTGGCTGTTGACTTCCAAACAAGGAAAGTTTTAGCCTTAAGTTCCTTCCAACGGTCAGGTCCCTACATCGATGTTCATTTCTTGAACATCGCTGTTTAGGTCTGACTTTGAAGGTGGAAAGTTTGGCCTGACAGCGCTGTTGCAAGGTCAACATTGCTGTCCAAAAACTTTCTGCCAATGCAATAGATTTTTGGCTTAGGTTGGACAGCGATGTAGGGAAGGCTACATCGCTGTTCAAGATGTTTCTGGAAACCCAACCTTGGCTCAACAGCGATGTCTAACAACCAACATCGCTGTTGGATGACTTAACGCCAAACCATGGTTTTCAGCTACCCAAGCCAGACAGCGCTGTTGGTTGCACCAACATCGCTGTTGGGCTGGTTTAGCCAGACCCATGGTTGGTTTAGTCAGCCGTTAGCCGATGTCAAAAACGTAAGTTCTCCAAAATAAAAACCAAGTATTGAAAACATTTTTTTATTGCATTTTGCTAAGAAATCAAGTAAGACATCTTGAAAACCACGTCATTTAGTTGAAAACCACGTCTAGCCAAGTTTTACGCCGTTTCGCATGGTTTTCACTAAACGACCAAAAACGAAAGGTGGTTTTTGAAGCATTTTTGTTGGAGAACTATTTAAATATGCCCATAAGTAAAAATCAATCATAAAAAGTTGAAAACCACTTGGTTGGTTCTGACGCCAAAAACCAATGCCGATAACCGAAAGCCGAATGTCGGTTTCTGAAAGCCGAATGCCGGATGGCTTGGTTTTTGGTTTGGGCGAACTCCGAGTGTTTTTAGGCAAGTTTAACACATGTGAAAAACATTTTGAATATGCAAAAATATATTTTGATGAGATGAGCCTAGAGAGCCAAGTTTTGAAAGTTTGTGCCGGTCTTGATCACATTAAGACCGACTCAATACAATTCTAGGTCTTCGTTCTTGATTCTTGGTTCTTGGTTCTCAAATCATCATGCCATGTTCCTTCGCCTTGGTTTTGCTCACTTTAACCTTGTTATGTTGCGGCGGTTTGACATTATCAAAACCTGTCATAAAACGAGCACGGTTTAGTACAATGTAGGTGAAAACCCGTGTTCCAACAGAAATTCTCTTATATTTCTCATCTCTACAATTTACAAAGAAGTCATATATATAGGCTCTCACATGCTGAGAATCCTAATCAATAAAGGAAACAAATCCCTATACAAGGAAACTACCAAAAACAATATACATCCATATATTCCCTTATATTCCCTTCCTTTAACACCTCCCTCAAGCTGGAGCATGTAATAAAGAAATGCCCAACTTGGGAATAAGAAATTAACTCCAGCCGTGACTTCCCAAGTGCCTTCATATGAATATCTGCAAGCTGATGTGTAGTAGGCACATGAAGTGTGCGAATCTCTCCACATAGAAGCTCACCACGAACGAAGTGACAATCAATCTCAATATGCTTCGTACGTTCGTGAAAAACCGGATTAGCAGCGATATGAAGGGCGGTCGTACTGTCGCAACGAATGGTCGTAGGATTCTTATGCTCAACCCCTAGACACCGCAACAAATTCTTCAACCATTTCAACTCACATGTAATGGCAGCTAGAGCTCCATATTCGGCCTCAGCAGACGAGTGAGTAACTGTTGTCTGCTTCTTGGTTTTCCAAGAGACAGGTGAATCTTCAAGCTGCACAAACCATCCTGTCAGAGAGCGCTGCGTTAATGGACATGCTGCCCAATCTGAATCACACCATCCTGTGAGCTGGAGACTACTCTCCGCTGATAGAAAAATGCCCTGACCTGGACACCCCTTCAAATAACGAACAACCCCAAGAGCTACTGCACACCACTCATCCTCCCTAGGTTTTTTCAAAAATTGTGCCAACATATGGAATGCATAAGAAAGCTCTGGTCGTGTAACAGATATATAGACTAATCACCCTACCAAACGTCGATATGGTTCTTGATTCGTCAGAACAGGAGCTTGGGAACGAGCCAAATGATGATTCGGTTCCATGGGTGCACCCAACGGCCTGGCACCTAACAATCCTGCCTCATAAATAATATCCAAAGCGTACTTCCGTTGGCAGTGAAAAATCCCAGACATGCTCCTCGCCACCTCAATGCCAAGAAAGTATTTCAGTGTTCCCAAGTCCTTCATATGAAAAAAATCTGCCAGATATGCTTTGAACTTACTCACTATCTCTGTATTTAGCCTCCAGCAATAATCAAAACATCAACATAAACCAAAACATGTATTACTCCTTTCTTTCCAACAAAAGAAAATAAGGAGTAATCAGGAACAGACTGGACAAGCGCATAACGTTTCAAGGCTCCAAACAACTTGGCAAACCAACACCTTGGAGCTTGTTTTAAACCATAAAGAGACTTCTTCTGTTTGCACACCACATTAGAGGAATTTGAAAAGCCTGGTGGCAGTCTCATGTACACCTCATCCTCAAGATCTCCATGTAGAAACGCATTGTGTACGTCCATCTGATGCAACTCCCAACCCTACACAACTGCAACAACTAGAAGAGTCCGTACAGTAGTTAACTTGATCACGGGAGCAAATATTTCATTGTAGTTAAGTCCTTCAACTTGATGATTGCCAAGTATAACCAATCTGGTCTTATATCTCTCCACGCTTCCATCAGACTTGCCCTTGATTTTATATACCCATTTGCAACCAAGAGGCTTTTTACGACGTGAAGGAGAGACAAAAGACCACGTTCCATTAGCCTCTAGTGCATCAATCTCCTCTCGCATCGCCTTCCTACATCGTTCATCTTGGAATGCCTTCTTGAAACTCGTGGGCTCCACTTCAGCATCAAGTGCGCTGAGAAAACACTTGTGTCTATCAGAGAACTTCTCGTGAGTGACATACGAGGAGAGAGGATATTTGCATTTTTCTCCAACATATGAACCAGCTACATGGGTAACATAATCGTTAAGGCACACATTTGGATGTTTCTCACGGTGACCACGTCCCAAGTTCTCTATGTCTGCTGGAAGAGGATGGTCGACCGCCGTTTGTGGACCGGTCCACGAGGTCGACCGTTTGAAACTGTTCTTGATCACTGACTTTCTGCCTCGAAGAAGGTCCAATGCCATCTGCATCACGGTCGACCGTTTCATCATCTCCTAGGAGCCCGTCCTTCTGCCTCTTGGACGGTCGACCGTTAACATCAGAACGATCCACCAGGTCGACCATTTGATCATCTCACTGGAGCTCGTCTTTCTGCCTCTCGGACGGTCAATCGTGGACATCGGAACGGTCCATTAGGTCGACCGTCTGTAGCCTGTCTGCTTTGCCACTTTCCTCCGGTCGATCGTTCCTCATGGAACGGTCCAGCTGCTCTTCCACGGGTGTCTCTTCATCATCTTCAAAGTGATCTATCGAAGGGGAACTACTCGATCCACTCTCATCTGAGATTTCACCTGTGAAAATCAAGTAAGGAATTTTTTTCACAGAATACAACATCTCGTGACACAGTGATCTTCCAAGTGTCCAGGAAATACACGCGCCAGCCTTTCTTTCCTTTTGGGTATCCCAAAAATTTTCCAGGAATACTTCTGGGTGCAAATTTATCTCCATCTCTTTTCAAATTGTGTACATAACATCTGCAACCAAAAACACGTATGTGGGTCTGCGTAGGAACCGTTCCATAGAGCTTCTCATACGGTGTAACCCCCTGGCAATGAAGAGGGTGTGCGGTTGATCAAATATGCTGCGGTTTGTATACAATCTCCCCAAAATTCAAAAGGAAGCCCTGCTTGAAATCTTAGAGCTCGACCCACATTCAGAATATGACGATGTTTGCGTTCCACTCTTCCATTCTGCTGCGGTGTAGACACACAAGATGTCTCACGAATAATTCCTTTTTCTAGAAAATATTCATTCAAGCATTCGAATTCTGTGCTTTTGTCACTGCGAACACACTTTATTTTCTTCCCAAATTGGCGTTCAACTATGGAACAAAATTGCTTAAAAACACACTTCCTACTGTCCGCTTAGAATCAAGCAAATATACCCACACACCGTGTGAAAAATCATCCACAATAATCAAAAACATTGTAGATTCATCCAAACTTGGCATCCGATAAAGACACCATAAATCACAATGCACCATATCAAATTAATCCAAAGATTGATGGAAACTGATGGAAAACTAGCACGAGTTTATTTAGCACGTAAACAGACATCACAATGACTATGACTACTTTTATTTGAACCAACTCCAGGAATTAAGGACAAAACATGCGAAGAAGAATGTCCTAGACGCTTGTGCCAAAGGTCAAAGGAATTCTCCTTCGTAGTACTGCATGTCACGCTTCTTTCCTCCTTCTTCAAATAGTACAATCCTCCTTCATGACTACTCACACCAATCGTTGTCCTCAAACTCATGTCGTGTAATATGCACACATCATTGGTGAACTTTGCGTCACAGTTCAAATCCCTTGTCAATTGTGAGACCGAGATCAAATGGCAACTCAAAGTTGGAACAAATAACACATTCTGTAGTGTCATAGTCCTTGTCAAATCAACCTTTCCAGATTGAACAGATACTACTCGTTTTCCATCGGGTAACCCAATTTTGCATGGAGTCACACCCACCACATCATAAAATAACGAAAGATCACTTGTCATATGATTTGATGCACCCATATCAATAATCCAACGTGGTGACATAGTAATACCTGTAAGTTTTTGATTGGTGTTTGTAGGGGACAATGCAAGGGCGTGACGAACAACGTTCCAATGCTCCAGGTTCAGATCCTCGAAATTGGGTAGCGGCGAAAAACCTTTTTCCTCTCCTTCCCCATTCTTCTTGTTGGAAATAATCTTCATGAGTGACTCTTCAGACATGCCGGATGATGAAGGTCAACGATGGGGCGAACAGCAGCAGCGATCAAGGCAAACTAGCATCGTGATTGTCGACCCACTCGACCGTTCTTTAGCAACGGTCGACCGTTCTGGTGGTACGGCAGCAACAACGAGCAACGATCGATGGACGCGATGCCGGTCGATCGTGAACAGTAGCCGCGGAAATCCTCTAAGGTTTAGGCTCTGATACCATGAAAGAATTATTTAGGAGGAAATTCTCTTATATTTCTCATCTCTACAATTTACAAAGAAGTCATATATATAGGCTCTCACATGCTGAGAATCCTAATTAACAAAGGAAACAAATTCTTATACAAGGAAACTACCAAAACAATATACATCCAAATATTCCCTTATATTCTCTTCCTTTAACATAGTGAGAACATTTCGGTTCGGTATTTATTTTTTGGGAACCTGTCCCATACGGCCGTACCATTTTAAAAACGGTTTGATTCGGGATACAATATACAAGAATTATTTAAAAAAAACGTTTTTCGGTTTGGTACAATATCGATTTGTTTCGGAATAATGTTGGTCCGGTATTTTTGCCCACCCCTATTTGTATGCATGTAAATTTATGTAAAATGTAAATGAGTACTTGATGGATATCAGCTCTGGTAGGCCCGACTCCAGGCCCAAGTAAAGGCCCATAATAGCCCAAAAGGTAGGTCAGACGGAGATGACGGGCCAAGCCCGTTATTGCGCATATGGCAAGTAGAGAAAGACGGCCTAGTCATGGGATAAATCAAGGTGACCCAGTCCAAGGGAAGAATGGGACACGTGGCCCACATCATCAAGTTGTGGACGAAATGGGAAGAGAACGAGACCGGAAAAGGGGGAATCACAACCCCATGATCTCCATAATCCTTTCCATTTTGTATAATTTTAATTACAATATTAGAAATGCTATAAAAAGGGGGAGAACCCGTCATTGTAAAGGGAGACAATTCAATACTCAATAAAAGAATATTATCGAGTGATTATATCTTCCTGATTCATATTACGTTCTTGGTCCGCCATCTGATCGGGTTAATCCCATCATTGGTGCTTTCATTGAGAGAAACTGTGAGATAAGGCTGTGGGATTATGGCCGGACGAAGGACGAGAGTAACACTGCTGCTTCCGCCCAGTCGACGGTAAGGAGTGACAACCCTGAGCAGGGTATGATCGTTCCTGTCAATGGGTTGGAAACGGCATTGAATAATGTGGCTAACATGATGGCCAACATTATGGAATGATTGGATAAGGCTCTTCCACGTCCATCCGGTATCCGGGACATCCCTGCCGGGCAACCCCGTCAGGTACTGCGTACCGCGAGTTCTCCTATCCTCCAGGAGCTTCATGATCCGGAAGAGGTTGAGAGGGAGAGACGAGCCATTGCAAGACGCCGGGCGGAGGAGTTGGCCCAGAATAGTAAGGTGAATGAGGACCGGGCCAAGGATGCAAGCCGGATCGTCGGCGATGGAAACGAAAACCCGCGGGGATCCGTCTTTGAAAGGATATCTCGCCAGAAGGCTCACGTTAGTGAGAGGCTAGGGAAGAATCCGGATAAGGCACCCCAAGGTTGGATACGACCCCAGGCTAGCCAGGTGGCATCTTCTAACCGCGAACCCCAGCAGCGAAACGGCCGTGGTGAGATCCAAGCGCCGGTCCGGTCAGTGATGGATTTGGAGGAGGATGAAGTTCAAAGCCAAGCCAGGGTCCCAGCGCCACGGCGTCTGGGGCCGCCGGTGCCGGAAGCTGGTGAGTTCTAGGATCTGAGGCAGCAGATCTAGGAGATGCAGAGGAAGATAAACAAGGGACGAGTATTCACTACCCGGACGAATACTCCCTTAGCCCCGGAGATCTTTGCGGAACCATATCCGCAGGGGTTCAAAATACTGTTCGTTAAGCGTTATGATGGGGAGTCGGATCCCCAGGAACACATAAACAGCTATGTCCAAGTGATGATTGCTGTAGACGCCAGTGACGCACTCATGTGTCGGTGCTTCTTGCAGACAGTTGATAGCAAGGTCGCGGATTGGGTCAACCATATCCCTGCCGGATCAATCTGGACATGGGATGAATTGGGACTACGGTTCCTAGAGCATTTTGCCGGGAACTACCGTCCCAAGAAGCATTTCACTCACTTAGCTTCAGTACGATAGAAGCATGGAGAGTCCTTGAAGAATTTCCTTATCCGATGGAGGAAAGAGTCCAGGGAGGTTGAAGGAACCGACAATAAATCCAGGTTGGCTATGTTCACAGCGGCATTACAGGATGGACTCCTTCACATCGATCTTACTACTCATCCCCCGGATACCTTCGAAGAAGCAATGGTCCAGGAGGGGAGGTATGTGACCCTGGAAGAAAGAAAGGAGGAGAAGAAAGAGAAGACTCCCAAAGAAGAAGAGAAGACCGGAAATAAGAAGCCGTTTAAAAATAAGAAGCAGGGCTTCCCGGATGGCCCAAAAGGCACAAGTTCTGGGACCTCGGAGAAGCACAAATCTGCCAATCTAGTCTTCACATTGGAGGGAATACTGGCGGAGACTCAGCCGCAAGCCAGAAGAAGTGGGCAAACGTGGCGATGGTCAACGAGGTGCTGGTCCCAGAAGGTAAGAAGCTGAAAACCGGGAGACAGGGGTCCCCCATAGGGATGCCCTAGTGATTACTATTGATATAATGGACTTACTGATCCACAAAACCCTTGTGGATACGGGAAGCTCCGTTAATATCATGTATATGGATACGTACAAGGCTCTTGGTTTGACAAGGGACAAATTGTCACCCATCAAAACTCCACTGACCGGGTTCACTGGTGACTCTATTAAACCGGAGGGGGTGATAACCCTCCCGGTTGAGATAGGGGATACTAAGGCTACCCGGAAGTTGGACATGAAGTTTGTTGTGGTGGGGATAATCTCCAGCACAAACATCATTCTGGGCAGACCCGGGTTGGAAGATTTGGAGTGTGTCATCTCACCTCGTCACCTGTGCATAAAATTCCCGACTCCCCACGGAGTTGGAATTGCCAGGGGATCTCAGAGAGTGTCCCAGGCATGGTATTTGAAGGCAACTAAACGGCCGGTCAAGTACGATACCCAAGTGGGAGAGGTGACTGCGCAGCTCCTGAGGGTTGAGGAAAAACGTCCCAGAGTAGAAGTTGCTGGCGACATTGAAGAAGTGGAACTGGAGCCAGGCATGCCGGGAAGGTTGGTTAGGATTGGCAAGGGCATGGGGGATGAACTCAGATCACGAGTGATTTCAGTCCTTAGAAGGTTCAGGAGGGTCTTTGCAGGGAGTCCAGCTGATATGCCAGGGCTGGATCACAAGATTGCAGTTCATCGCCTAAATGTCCTGCGGGATGCTAAACCAGTGAAGCAGAAACGGAGGCATTTGTTGCAGGAAAGAAGAGATTTCGTGAAAAAGGAGGTAGCGACCCTGCAGAGCATTGGGCATATCCGGGGGGTGCAGTACCCGGATTGGTTGGCAAATGTAGTTCTGGCGCCCAAGCCCCCTTCGTGGAGGATGTGCGTCGACTACACCGATTTGAACAAGGCATGTCCCATGGATCCGTTTCCTCTCCCCAACATTGATCAGATGGTGGATGAGACTGCCGGATCAGAGTTAATGAGCTTCATGGACGCTTTCAGTGGCTACCATCAGATTCGGATGCATCCGGCTGATGCTGAAAAGATGAGTTTTATAACCCCAGAAGGGCTGTACTGTTACTTGGTGATGGCCTTTGGGCTGAGAAATTCCGGGGAGACATATACCCGGATGGTTTCTCAGGTGTTCAAGGCTGTCTTAGGGCGGACCATGGAAGCGTATGTTGATGACATGATTGTCAAATCCAAAGAGGCCCGAGACCATGTCCGGGACCTTGAAGAGGTCTTTGAAATCATGATGAAGGTAAATCTGAGATTGAACCCGAAGAAATGTACTTTTGCTGTTTAGGGTGGGAAATTCCTTGGGCACATGGTTAGCCGGAAAGGAATTGAGGCAAACCCGGAGAAAGTAAGGGCTATTATGGAGATGGAACCCTCGAAGACAGCAAAGGAAGTTCAGTGGCTGACAGGGAGATTGGCGGCTTTGAATCGTTTCCTTTCAAGGCTGGCAGAGAAGGCGCACCCATTCTTTGCGGTGATCAAGAAGAGGGCGACCTTCGAATGGACACAGGAATGTCAAGAAGCATTTGAAGAACTAAAGAGATATCTCGCGAGTCCGCCGGTTTTATCTAAGCCGGAACCTGGAGATGTTCTGATCCTATACTTGGCAATTGCGGACTGTGCCATAAGTACTGTGATCGTGAGGGAAGAGCATGGGGCCCAGCATCCGGTCTATTACGTCAGCAAGACCCTGAGAGATGCGGAGCTAAGGTATTCCCGTCTAGAGAAGGCCATGTTAGCGGTCTTCTGGACAGCGAAGAGATTAACTCTGTACTTTCAGGCTCACCGGATTGTTGTGCTCACGAATGAGCCTTTGGCGTCACTTGCCCGAAGCCCGGCGGCATCTGCCCGGATGACCAAGTGGGCAGTCTTCATCAGTCAGTATAACGTGGAGTTCAGGCCGCGCCCATCGATGGATCTTCTGGAGCTCGATCTTGCGGAGCAGGTATCGTCTTGACCACTCCAGAAAATTTCCGGATTTATTACGCTATCAGATTTCAATTCCGCGTATCCAACAATGAAGCTGAGTATGAGGCCCTGATCAACGAATTGAAGATTCTCAATAAGTTGGGGGTAGCCAGGGTTCAGGTTTACAGCGACTCCTGATTGGTGGTGGGACAAATCACTGGGGAGTTTGAACCAAAGGAAGAAAGGATGAAAAGGTATCGAGACTTGTCCTTAGAAATGTTGGGGAAGTTTGAGTTTAAGCTTGAACACATACCCCGGGCCCAGAACGCGGAAGCTGATGTTCTATCCAAGCTCAGCGCAGAGTCACCAGAATACATAAGCAAATTAACAACCGTCGAGGAGCTGGCAACCCCGACTCTTAACAGAAATGAGGTGATCTGGGTATCAGCTGATCCCCCGGAATGGCTGGACAGGTTGGCCAAATACATTGAGGACGGTGAAGCCCTGGAGGATCCCCAAGAAGCACGTCTGTTGCGAATGAGGGCACCTACCTACAAGGTGCAGGATGGAATCCTCTATAAACAATCTTACAACGGTGTTTTACTCCGTTGCCTCAGGGCAGCAGAGGCAAAGGCACTAATGGAAGAAATACACGAAGGAGTGTGTGCTGCACATCAGGGTCCATACTCTGTCTCCAGAAAGGCGATTATCCAGGGATATTTCTGGCCAACGATGAAGAAGGATTGCGAAGAGTACGTACGCAAGTGCCCGACCTGCCAACAGTTCCAGAATATGCCCTGGAGGCCAGCCATGAATTACACGCCCATCAGCTCTGTGATTCCCTTCTCAAGATGGGGGATTGATATTGTGGGAGCCCTGCCGAAAGAAGCAAATGGGTAGATGAACTACCCAGAATCCTATGGACATACAGGACAACTCCAAGGAGAGCTACGGGTGACACTCCTTTTGGCTTAGCTTATGGTTTTGAAGCCCGGGCTCCCGCTGAGGTAGTAATCCCCACCAAGAGAGAAATGGAATATGACCCGGAGGTGAACGAACAGAATCAGGCCGTAGAGCTGAATTTTGTAGAGGAACGAAGGGATTAAGCACGGATCCGGGCAGAGAATTATCGTCGCCAGAACCAAGGGCGTTCTAGGTAGGGGATTACGTCCTGAGGAAACGAGAGAAAAGTCAACCAACTAAGGGTGGGAAGCTGGCTAAGAAGTATGAAGGACCTTATATCATCAAGGCCGTTGTTCGCCCAGGTACCTACAAGTTGGTGACTCCCAAGGGGAAAGAAATTGATAGGACATGGAATGTAGAGAACTTGGTCAAATTTTATTAGTAAAAACCATTTTGTAAAAACGCTCTATTTTTAAATTTAAGATGTTTGTTTCAGTAAATTGTTCTTTAAATTTAAGATGTTTGTTTCAGTAAATTGTTTCAGTAAGATGTTTCAGTAAAAACGCTCTATTTTTAAATTTCATTGTTCTATAGATTTCTTTCAAAAAAAAAAGAGGGGGGGGGGGGGGGG